CTTACCTCACATCCAGCCGTCTCTTGGCGTGTCTCGTCCAGGAAAAGCTATGATCTTCGTCATCATCGGCCCAGTCGGGCCGTACTTTTCAACGGGGTCCTTCAACCCAGTGTCCCTGCTGGCAGACCCTGCGTTTGTGAGAGCTTGGAAAGGAGGTGTTGGGGCCTACAAGATGGGAGGGTAAGTTTTTACCCTTAAGTGTGCATTTGGTGTCTGTCTTGCTGAGATTATGAGTCGATTTTGTGCATAAAAAGAACAATTCAACACAATTGAGTTTGAAGGACGTCTGAGAGAAACTGGTAAACAAAGTTGAAACTAATTTACTGACGATTGGAACCCAAAGAAGCAGAAAGAAGTATAAAAAAACAGTATAAAAGACATTTTTAAAAAGTATTTAAAAAAATCTGAGGTCGTTTACCAGCTTCACAGCTCTGTAATGTTCAGGTGGACTTTCTGCGGTGCTCCACACCACAGCTGTGTTTTCATTCAGCAGTGGATCTGGTGGAGATGAGAAAGCCGGCCTGAGTGTCAAAAAAGAAAGAGCTTGTGTGATATTTTAGGTGGTGTATTTGCATTAAAATCAGCCTTAAAATATTCAGCATTAACCGTACAATGGCTTCAGCTGGTACATTAATGGTCCGGACCGTCACCTGTGCTTTTGAAAACATCTGCAGTTAGGTCAAAAATAATCACGAGACTGAGGAGACAAATCGGCGTTCCTATAATCCCCTGATTCCATGCAGCCTGTAATCACGGCCCTGCTTCCACATGACTCTGCTGTCCTACATCAGCACCTGCTCGGCTCCGGCGTGATTACGTAACACCGCTGAACGCCCACTCGATTCGCTAAGCCAACAAATCTGCTCTCCTCCATCAAAGTGGAGTAAACACTTCAGCTGTCGGGCCTGATTTAGCAGCAGTAGCCACACGACTCCTGTGGAGCTGAGAGTAGTTCGGTGGGCTTACGTTGTTTGTTACCTCTGCTAAGGAGTTTATTTTATTGGTTACTTTTTAGTACAAGATATGGCAAAATTTAACTTATATCTTCACATATTCATATCAAACTGAAAAAGGAAACATTGTGAAATATCATCTCAGTGCTCTGAAGAAAATATCAGAAACTAATCCAGATCCAGGTTTCCTTTTAGATCCCAGGACTCACTTCATGCATGGTCTGAAGGGAATTTTCAGCCTGGCTGGAGGTTTCTAGTCTGTGTAGATTAAGAGCTTTGCAGTCTTGTTTAGCTGATTGTTTAAATGTTATTGTGCATTTACTGGTACAGAAAGTAGAGCCTCATTGATGCTGACGTTTTAGATATGATCACTAAAGCCAGAGCACATCAGTCGAGCAGTGTAGTTGGACCTGGACTGTGATTTTTATACTAGACAAGCAGATAAAATCCTTTATTAAAGCTATTTATTTTTTATCATTTGAGGCTTTTATCCAGAATCAAATCCATTTTATCTTTGAAAATTTGTGAATGTCTCATTCATGCTTTCATCACAACGTGTCTGCACTGCTGCTTGAAGGCGTTTCACCTCTCGTTCGAGACGTTTCCTCAGTTCTAAGACGAAAGGTGAAGAATTCAGGGAGTTTTCACTTAAAAGGGTTGTTGACCCACTATTGATTGTTTGCATCACCACATGAGGTGTGAAAAAAGCTGTGGGTCATTATCAGCAGAGGTTACAGGTGAAACCGTTGTGAGACCTTGCCTCACCCTATCATGTGACCCACTGAGATAAAGAGGAGATAAGGATGGCAGACAGCCCTCCCCCTCTGTTCCAAGAAGGTCGTTCACAGTGGGCATAGATGGCTTCTTTCACTCTCCTTTCAAACCATCTGTGTTCTTGGTCCAAAATGTGAACGTTTGCATCCTCGAAAGAGTGACCTTTGACCTTTAGATGCATATGTACAGCTGAGTCTCGTCCCATCGAGGTGGCTCTTCTATGTTGTGCCATGCATTTATGGAGTGGCTGTTTAGTTTCTCCAGTGTAGATGTCTGAGGGAGTCCTCGCTGCACTGCACACCATACACTGTGTTGAACTCATGAAGACACATTGAAAGCACAGAACTACAGCTCTGCTACGTCAGTCGAGCCGGTCTGCATTTCTGCATTCCCGACATTAAAGCAGAATATCACAGAGGGCCGTACATCAGGGTCTCTGTATGCTTCACTCGAAGCTAATGCAGCTTGAACTTAGTGACGCTCAGAAAGAGCTCAACTCAAGGCTGGCTTCTTAACACCATTGTTCATTGTTTATTGTTGTCAATCCAGAAATGATTGCAGTTCTGTGGTTCTCACGATGTTCCTTCTAACAGTCGTGATATTAACAGGATGCTTCCTCGTCAGCACAAACACCTTTTCTTTGGGTGCTGGTCTGGTGCCAGTGCACAACAACGGTTGCTCTGTCATCATTCTTTGGACTGAAAACCTTTGGACTGTGTCTTCCTCACTTCTTGAAATTAATTATTGTTGGATTGTGTGACGTTACTTTGGTTACAGGTTGTGATTTTGGCGGTGGAAGGCTTTTAATTGATGACTAAATATGTTATTTAAATGAAAAACGAGGAGAGAAAATGTGCTAATACTCCAGTGTTCATTTCAGTCTCTGTGGAGGATGTTGTGGAGGTTTATTTGTAAATCACCGGTGCTACATGTTGGCACTGATGTCGACATCAGCAGTTTTCATTTATTATTTGCATGTTGTATCTTCTTACCTGCGTGCCTCCTGCCATGCAACACACCTGCACGAGTCATCCTCAGAATAGCCCCATTCATAGATGTATGGCCCCACTACCACTGACTGCCACCTGGTGTGCAAAACATGCATTACACCAAAACAAATACAAACAAGAAATGTGTCTTTATATTATGTTTTTCAGTCCAAGCCGCTCTGTTCATATATAATAAATCAGGCAGTCTGTCTTATTTAACTTCTTTCCAGTAACTACGGCCCCACAATAGCGGTGCAGAACGAGGCAGTGAAGCGAGGCTGTCAGCAGGTCCTCTGGCTGTATGGACAAGATGAGGAGATCACCGAGGTCGGCACCATGAACCTCTTTATCTACTGGACCAATGAGAAAGGAGGTCAGATTCTTTTAGTTCATATTTGGTTGTTTTTTTTCCCCCAGTCATCTTTTTATTGTTCACACAGTTTAAAACTGCTCTTGTGAATTTTTCCTCTGTGGATGCAGAGAAAGAGCTGGTGACCCCGCCGCTGGATGGCATTATTCTCCCAGGAGTGACCAGACAATCACTGCTGGACCTGGGAAGATCCTGGGTAAGAGACCACCGTTAGGTCAACAAGACAGCTGCCTGAGCCCCGCCCACACTGAAAGTCCAGCACAGACGCAGGATAAGCAGAAATAGAACAACAGGAGTCTCATTTAGTCTGAGTCTTAGTTATTTTGTAGCATCCCAGTGCTTGCTAGCATTTCCCAGCATGATGTTCAGTGGTGTCATTTTTTTGCAGACGAGCGTTTCCTAGTTTCAGAAATTGTCTTGAACAAATTATTTTGGTTGGTCGGGCTTCTCCGGGTTGCCAGATGGGAATTTAATGAGACATTCCAGCTGAAAGATTACGATTGGGATTTCCAACTTCTACCTTTGAATAGAGTGCAGCAATAAAAAATAAAAGAAATTCTTTCTTTATGTGTTTCTGTTAGGGAGAGTTTAAAGTCACGGAGCGGACTATGGTCATGAAGGAGCTGCTTGGAGCTCTGGATGCCGGGCGAGTCCTGGAGGTGTTTGGTGCAGGGACGGCCTGCGTCGTCTGCCCCGTCGGCAGCCTCCTCTACAAAGGAAAGGTGGGAGTTCATCTCCTGGTTCTGATGCTGCTTATTTTTCATGAGTAATAGTGACGTTGCTGGGTTTCCTGTGGCCCATTATCAAACAGGAATATTTAATTTTTCTGCTTTGCTGAGTCATCAGGCAACATTTGTGGACAAATAATCATGTGTTCATTTTTAAATATTCATGTTTGACGGTGTGAGAAATCCATGTAAATCACCAATAACGTCAATATTTCCTTCTGTTTTCTCTCAGACGTACCAGATCCCCACCATGCAGAACGGTCCAGATCTGGCCAAAAGGTTCTACAAAGAGCTTACTGATATTCAGGTAAGAGCGTCACCGCATTTATATCCCAAATCTAAATATTAGGCACTTAGAGCATCTTTAAAGTGATCAAGGGAACTTGAATGCTGCTGCTTCCAAGTGGCAGCAAGAGGGAACTGAAAAATACAGATTCCTAAAATGTATCGAAGGCAGAAATGTGTAGTATTTTCATTAGACCTCTTCTGCACACAGTTCTCCTTCAGCAAGGCATGCGCACAGATGTGCAGAATTATTAGGCATCAGATTAAATTTAGTGTATGTAAACAGAACCAAAACTCCAAACGTGTGCATGCTGGGTCACAAGAAGCTATTGTCTATGCATACTCTCTCACCCACAGACAGAATAGAACATGGACGTAGCCACTGTGGCATTTGAGCAGTGAGCATATTATAGATAACTCTCCTTTTAGTCGTAGAAGGACCAATGTTTACAAAAGACTTCAGGTTCTATTAAATATTTAACTAGAACCCGAGCCTATGAAGTCACTGAGATCACCGAGCAAGGACGATCAAATTCCCATAAACATCAACTCTTTGCAGCCGGAGAAGTCGCCCCCTGCTGGCCATTAAAAAGAACTCGGGCTTAAAGCTCTTCTGTACTGGCCTCAGGCCTCAGAGCTGTGCCCATTTAGTTTATGTGAGGGAAAGACACAAAACACACCCATGCATGTTTTGTTTTTTCTTTAACACATCTGAACTTGATGTCGATCAGTCCGACAGATATTCTTCGTTCTCAGATCAATAATCAGTAAAACATGATATTGAAAAAGTATTTATTTATGACTTGTTTTATGACAGTCTGCTATTGGAATAACAGCACTTGTTGCAGGCCTAGCTTATCCTGTGACTTTCTACATGTGAATTAATTTCCTTCCTCTGTATTTATTTGTTTCCCTCTCTTCTTTTGCTTCCTTGTGTTTCCTGCAGTACGGATGCACACCAAGTGAATGGGCTCCACTGGTTGTTTAAACAGCTACTTTGCACATGCCGGTTGTATCAACATTTAATCCGCTAATTTTAGTTTGGAACAACCAACAGCGACCCATCCCCTCCCCCCGCCCCCACCGCACTCCTTTCATCTAATGAATGCACTCCTGCTTCGTCACTCGGGGACACAGACGCCTCTCTCTTCCTGTCTTTTTGGACGCCTTTCACGGATGTTACTGTCTCAGAAAACCAGTTGGTGGTTTGAATGCAGCAATACTAACGGCGACGTTTGCCGATATCAAGTCCGAAGAAAATTTTAATTGTTGGAGGGGAAAAAAATAGATTTTAAATATTAACATGATTCACAGCATTAATACAGGCTAAACTTCACTCGGATGCTCGTACTTTAATTTTAATCAGCCCTGCATTAACAAACAGGCACAAAGTTTGACATGTTTCAGGTGTCGTAGTCACAAGCTACAGGTTTGTATTTGGTGTTTAAGACTTTGGTAGTTACTGTTACTCATCAACAAATGAATTAAGGCGAATATCACAACAGCAGTTGATATTAGCTCGTGGTATTTAACCTAAAACCTCTAACTGTTACATGTGAGTAGCCAAAACTGGAATAGCCAACCTTGTAAGGATGTGTTATTTCTTATTGTCGTGTATTTGGCGAACTGATCTGTAATTTTTCATGGGGCCACGTCGCTTGGACATCAGCGTTTGCACTGAGCTTAGTTGTAACATCTGTGCAACTCGGCTTTTCAGAAAATAATCATGAGTGGGTTTTAATGTTTGTTGGTTTTATTTGTAAAGACTTTGACAGCACAAAAAAAGATTTGAGCAAGCAGCAGCACGCACAAACAGAAGGACTGCTGAACGCCGACACGCTGCAGAC